AATTGTACTGCTTCTTTACATATGATTCATGATGTAAAGAACGAAGGATTAAAATGTATTCATGGTAGTGAAGAATTTTCAGAAAATACAGATCTGGCCGCTGTCTCTGGAATGTGAGTCTCCGAATTTCTTCAAACAAAGATTAGCTGGAATTCAGAGAATCCTGCCTGCAAATATGCAATACTTTTCTATAGGGTGATATGAGGAAAAACAATGTTATGGTTTTCTTTTCTCCTTCTTCTGATTGTGTGCAGGACTCTATCTCTGCAACAGTTTGGAAATGACTGCATGTGAGACTGAGATGCATTTGGGATATTCAGATTCTTACCAGTAGCTGTGGTCTTAGCAAAAAGATTTTTGTTCTGACATATCAATCTCTATCACCAATATATGACCATTCCCAAGCTGATTTTTACATATCAAAGACAATGGCAACTTATGCTTTTCTAGCGAATCTGCAGCCCTACTTGGCCATAGCATTAGCGACAAGTGTAACCCTATTTTTAATTTATTAATAAACTTTTATCTAACCATCTGAAACCAGCCAAACTTTAGGCAGTGTTAGAGGGTTTAACAAGATACAAATCCAACATTAATTTATGATTAGACTGATTATAGGCCATCAAATTGGCTTCGACTCCTAACAGCCACATTTTCTGTACAATGATCCATCCCTCACCTGGTGCTTCGGAACTTCCAACATTAATGAAAGTATAACACGAAAAATGATTAAATAGAGAGGAGATGGCTTCAAGAAATTGAGCCCCAGCCTTGAGGGGGAAGTGGGAGAGAAGAAAGAGTGGCTGGGAAAGTAGAATATGCGAAAAGAAGACTCAGAATAGCCCTTGTTGTCTTTAGAAGGTTCTGAAAAGGCTTTCAAAATTCTTTTAATATAGCCTGCAACAATAAAGGAGAATTTTTGGAATCTTGGTGGTACTTGTTGCTTGATTTGGCCTTCCTCAAAGGGATGATAGATATCATGATTTGTCAATTCTCCCAAAGGCCCTCTGGAAGCGCCACATTTTCATCATCTTCTGGACGGCTTATGAGGGTGGGAACCATATGGTTCCAAGAAACAAACTCTTCCAGAACGGCCACGAATAGAATATGTGCACCACTGGACTCTTATTTCCATTCTTCCTACTAGGAGGACCATCAGAAGGTACTTCCCAGTTATTTGGGTAGGAAAGGAGAAAACTGTTGTGGAAAGCTGATTTAGGTGACCAGGCTGAGCCTGAGGGAGCAGTCAAACATGTCATCCGTTTCAAGTACCTTTGTGTCCACAAGTGATCTAAATCCAGCCCACTTTGAATGCCATTGACTCTTATCTACCACCAACTTTGACCATTAGTGGTTCAGATTGTTGTAGAGAATTTTAGCATACAGTAAACCTATATCTATTCATCCAAATGGCCTGGACTTCTGATTTCCTGTGCTTGACAGGTGGTCTCCAAGATACTCAAGACCCTGAGCCATTAGCCTGGGATATGCCTAATTGTACTCCTTAAAAATGACCATTCTCCCTCACCACTTCTCTGTCTTCTAAATACAATACCCAAAGTTCCTTTTGAAAAGTCAAGAATCTTAAAATCCATTTACATCTATTCGCTGAATGCAATATAATATGCAGAATCCCATGTTCCAGCAGTAATTAATTACCAGAAGAAGGGCTCTCCTTAATGAGTGATAATGAAAACCTGACAAAAGATCTGCGTAAAGGGCTATATTTAGTTAAATTGTTAGCTAGTTACTCCAGGCACCCCACCTCCTTTTCATTCACTAATCAGAATGGATATTATACGTGGCTTATAAATGCAAAGTTTTCTTTGGGTCCTACTTGATTCCATGACTTCATCAGCATGTGTATCAGTGGTGGTTTCCTACCGGTTTGGACCAGTTCAGGTCTGAACCGGTAGTAACTTGGTGGCCTGGGTTGCTGGAACTGGCAGAGACCCAGGCCTGCCACGTCCCCTAACTGGTTTTCCTGGCCGCCATCTTGTTTTCTGCTTCTGTGCATGCGCAGAGCAATTTTAGTTGTTCTGTGCATGTGCGCGCAGAACATCCCTGAGTGAAACGGCAGTGGTCTCTGCCAGAACCCACCCGTGACATGTATGCCATTTTCTTGGCCATGAAATTGGAAGGACTGAGAAGAAACCCAGTTCATAAGCCTAAGGAGGAGGGAAAGAGATTCACAATAAGGGGCTAGAAAATGAGCAGCATTTGCAAAGCCAGCTGCAGGGGGGAAAAACATCTCCAGAGATCCCTTCAATTGCTAATGATTTAACTAAATAACTTTCTTATGATGGACGAGGGGAAAACAGGCTTCCTCTATTCTGCTTGTGACCCGAGACCATGGGGTAGACTTGTTAGGGTGAAAAGGCTTTTGTGGAGGAGGACTTAAGACTTCTGTGGAAATGTGTGTGCAAACAGTACCACGACGTTCTCAAGGCCAGCCTGACCACCAACCCGTTTCACACACACTGAACTTTGGGCAGCAAGTTCTGGATCCTCAGGCTCAAGTTTGTTGAGTTGATACTCAAGGAAGAGGACAAGCGGACACGCTTGGTCCTAAGTTGCCAAACATGACAATTTAACAGAAATGTCACATTATCCAAAAAAAAAAAAAAAACCAACAACGTAAGAGATTTGTCTCTTCTGTACAAGGAACGGAGGGAAACCAGACTTGGATGAAAACTGAGGAAACCTTTTTGTTGATGCTAATATAATCTCCAGCTAATTAAGAGGGTGTCCAGTTATGACTGATCTTCACTCCACCAAATAAGTTTTGCAGATAGGGAGAACAAATGACCCAGACATCCCTTTGTCTCTCAAAGTCACAATGGAACCTCAACATGAGAATGCTTTTCCCATCTTAAGTTCTACCTGGAAGTCTCAAAGTGGATCTTATTCCACTAAAAAGTAAATGCATGGCGGCTGCTACAGACATTCCTTGGCTCACTGCTCTGACCAGGCCTTCTCCTGTCTTTATATCGCTTACTCTAGAGACCTCTTTACATTCTCTGCTCATCTGGCTTTTTATATACTTCTGCTTTGCCAGCCTCACACCTCAATCAATCTTCTTACTAAATGGTCCAATTGGCACCTACACATGTTTCCTGCCGTTCCACTTTCATTTGGGGGAGGTGGGGGGGGAAGGAAAATTGGTAACAGGCCCACTTCATACATCATCCTAAAAATACACACACCCGATCTGCATATATACGCTTTGAGGAAGAAAACCACATGCTCGATAGTGAATTGTGTCTTGGAACTTTCACAATCATTTTAAAGCAGCATTGCGCTCTTAAATGGGAGAACCGGCAGATAGAAAGTAATGGTACGCAGGTGTTTAATTCTTCTGCTCATGTTTTTACCATATTGTCCTCTGAAATTTGAGGAAGTTTCTAAGCAAGCACTTAGAAAGCAGGTGATGAAGGAAAGCAAAGTTAAGGGGAGACACTATTTAGGGGAAGTCAAATCACCCTTCTTCACCATTTCTTTATCCTGGCAGCAGGGTTTCTAGTTTTCAGTCTCCACCACAATGCTTGGCTTTAAGCAGGAGATGTGAAAATCGGTGCTCAAGTGTCATATTTAGCTGAAAAAAGTATTTGAGCTTCAAAAAACTCTTTGGCATGCTCCTTGGGGAAATGCAAACTTTTCATTTCTATCCTCTCATTTTATACAAATACATGCGGACGTGCTAAGGTGTATGTTGCTCAGAAAAAAATGCTGGTGGTTGACTGCCATTATGTGAATCATGGTATTCCCACTATTGTATGATTTTGTTACTATAATTTATAATTAACTAATAATGTTACATTGTTAGTTTCTTCATGTGCCATGAACCACTGTGAATCTATATGGATTTGGTAGCACACATATGCCATAAATAAAAGGATTGGAGAATGGATGCTAAAGTTCAGTAAAGTGCTTAATGTCTCATTCCATAATAGGAACGAATGACTTTTTAGCAGGAACTGCTTTCAAGAGGTTACAGCCAACACCTGGTGAAATTTCAGACGAACAGGCGGTGGCATAGTAACTACAACCATTATATTGATCACCCTTTGAAGTAAGCGAAGATTTGTATTCTGGAAGTGTGCTTGGAAAATACAGTCAACACAACAAAGGAGCTGGGCTATAGTTGGCACTCCTGAGGTCTGTCTATAAATGTCACGTATGTCTAAAGGATATTAAAAATTGGCCTGCTAAACTAATTTGCAAATGAACAAAACAATTCTACCTGCCTGTATTAGTTATTTCCTTTTGCTTAGGCGTCGTGCAAACCCTGAAACGTGCAAGGGCAGTTCCAAAGAATATTTTGCAGCTTGCACAAAAACATCCCTACCAAGAATGATGGTTTAAGCCTCAAATCCAGCATGTTTTGTTTTTTAAATCGTATATTAGGAAACCTTAATGCATTTCGCAGGATGTAGCTGTCTTCCTCTGAGCATTGCTGACAACTCAAGGTAAGGGGGAAATTACAAGGCAGAACCGTGTGGAAGAGATAAACACAGAGCAACTGGGGACAATATTGCACCAGGGGAAGAAAAGGACAGCGTGACTGGATGAAGAATTAATCATTCATGGAATTTTGGGATGGTGGGGCTGGTTTCCTTGTATGGCTCCTTCCATCTTTGTTCTTAGTGTGGAAAGCTCATTCAAAGAAAACAGCAGCCTCACACAATCCTTGAAGAGGTGGGTCTCCAAGACTTCAATTTGGAGGCAACCTCACTGACCTCTGCTGAACAAGTGATCAGAGGTACTGGAGATTAATTGTTTTACTGTGTGAGGCGGGGTGTGAAATTGCTCTATATCCCAAGGACCTTTCAACAGACAAAAAAAATATATTGCGCTATTGTAGTTAGCATAAAAGGAAAGGTTAGTATTACAACTACATTGTCAATGGAAAGTCAGGAACCCAAGGCTAAAGCACTGAGTTGGAGACAGGGATTTAAAGCCTTGTGGGTCCTGAACTTGTGTGCCAACCAAGAACAAACTCAATTTTCTTTGCTTCGTTTGCTCATCTGAAAAAAGGGGAGGAATTAGGGATCTGCTTTACAGAAGCCAAAGTTTTGTATTACATGAAAAATATCAAGTTCTAATAAGGCAAAAGAGTAGTTTGGTTGCCAGCTTTGAATCGAATCCCTGCATCCTTCATCAACAAGAATTTCTAGAAATTGAATTGTTCCAGAAATATTCACTTTCTGAGGTAAATGTCTCCAATAGTGTCAGAGGAATAAAGGAACAAGAACGCAGGAAAAGGTAATAGCGATCACGGGGGGGGGTGGTGGTGATGGGTGTAACAAGTGAAAGAGTAAATAAAACCAAGCACTTGAAAAAGTTGTGGCCACCCAAAGGCCTTAGAACGAGACAAATGCAAAAGTGCAGATGTTTACGAAATGCAAACAGCTGCAAAGCTGACCTTCGGGAAGGGCTTGGAGGATCACCTACCTTTTTCCGATGTCGGTCGTTCTTTGCAAGACACGATCTCTGCAGGGAGAGGTAGCCTCCAATCACCTGGATCTCCTCCACTGTGGGGTAACGCTTCTTCATGGGCATCGTGGCCATTGGCGGAGAGCTCTCGATGCCGTTCTCCACAGCCGTGACAGGTGACACAGGGGCCTTCCGAGGATTGATTGTGATGGTGTTGCCACTGCGACGCTGCATGGCTGGATGCGGGGATGAGCCCCGGGCCAGGCTTCCCATCCTAATGTCCTCCTTAACTTTGCTGTTGCTGCTGCGTCGCATGGCCTCGGCCTCAGACAGCGGCTCCTCAACAGCGTCCGGGAGAAGTTGTTCACAGCTGGGTGAAGAGCAGGAAGTGGGGACTGGGGGCTTGGCTGAAGGAGGAGAAGGACTGGCTTCCTGCTTGGGTTCTGGGGGAGGGGAAGCTGAAGCCCTCAGTGGCACGACCATGAAGGAGTTCCTGGAGTGGAGGCGCAGGTTGGCCAAGGCTTTGCCCTGGATATCGTCCTCAGCCGAGGGGCATTCCACTGCCGCCTCCATATCACTGGTCTCCATCCTGGGCCCTCTGTCTGGGGACACAGCCTCCCTTCCCCACCTTTTCCCAGTGGGTGAGCGCCTTGGGGGACTATCTGGCCAGCCCTCCCCACTGCTTGATTTAGCTTCAAATTGGCTTCGATAAGATGCCACAGTGCAAGGGCCTGGGGGTGTCAGTCCCGGGAGGTCACAGGGAGGGCTGGGGAGGCGATTGACACATGGCAGCCGGGCCAGGATGGGGTCTGCCGGAGAATGGACTAGCTTCCTTCCTCCAAAGCTGCTGCTTTCGGTTAAATTCTCAGTGCTGAGGGACTTCACCGGGGGCGATGGCATCGCCATCCCTCCACCGTCCTCTTGGCTGAATCGGCTAAGCAATTTGCTCACCCGCCCTTGGCGCTGCTCGGGCAACGATGCCCGATGCTCAGCTCGGCCCACGGCGTTGAGATCCTCCACGCTGCGGCTCAAAGCCGACTTGACGATGAAGACCTCCCCTGCACGGATCTCAGTCACGCTGCCCCCACGGCGGGCCAGCAGCTCATTGAGGGACTCCATGCTGCCAGATTTGGCTTCTGCCGAGTGGCGGTCGCTAGCCAGCTGTGCCGGTGGCGCCCCATGGGCTGTTTCAATTATAATGACATTGTCTGCCCGCAGGGTCCGGACGCCTGGAATCTGCCCACACAGATCCACTATTTGCTTGGCTTTGGTGTTCGCAAGTTCATTTTCCGGAGGGCCAGACTCATGATGATGGCGGCGCTTCTCCAGTTGAATGAAAGGATTTTGGTGGACTGGGCCAATCTTCTCCTGTAGCACAGAACTCTCTGGCTCCCCCTCTTGGTAGGATGATGTTGCAGCAGGCGTGGAGGATGGGCCACTCTCAGTTTCCCCTGGTCCGCTTGGTTCAGAAAAAGAAGTGCTTGAACCTTGCTTGGCCCGGCGTCGTTCAATGATTTCCCGTTTCCAAGCCGGCATCTTAGCCATGCGGTCTTGTTGCTCCTGTTCCCGCCGCCGCGTCTCCTCTTCCTCCTTTCGCCGACGCTCCAGTAACTGGAGTTTCCATTCTGGCAGTGGAGGAGTTGAAGACATTTTTGCTGGAAGTATGAGATAGCAGGAAACAGGAGGGAAATCTAGGGGGTGGGGGAAAGGAGTGAAAAAAAAGGAAAAGAAAAGATTTGGTGGGATGTTCAGGGAGCGAGAAGGAAGGGAAAACAGAGACAGGAAAGCGGGCTTGACAGAGCAATTTAATGAACACGAAAAGCAAGACAAAAACAAAAGTGGCAAGGAAAAAAATGGAATGAAAGAGGGAGTAATGAAAGAGAAAAAAGAGGATCTGGAACAGGCTTGGAAATGAGTAGAAGGGGTTCTGAGAAATGGGCAACGGTTGGAAAGGAGAAGACAGACAGTATTAGAGTAACAGAAAATGGAGGCTCAGAAATAGAAAAATGATCAGAGGAAAATGGTAGGAAGTGACAGATGGAGGTGGAATGAGGGAGAACTGGATTGGAAAAGGAGAAGGAAAGGTGGGAGAGTACGGGGAATACATTCAGAAGAAAGAAAAGGGGAAAGAGTAGCTTGAAGGATCAGGAAGAGGAAGATGATCTGTCAGAAGATATTGCAAAATTAAGTCCCTTTAGCTATGAGAAAGGGGGGAGAGAGTGACAGAGAGAGGGGGAGGGAGAGAGAGAGAGAAAGAGATAAAAGGCTTCCTTCAGGCTCAACCTTTGATGTTTTTCCTCCTCCCTCCTCCCTCTCCTCATCCACTCACTCTTTCCAACTCATGTCACACACACTGTCTCTGGTGTGTTGGGGAGGTGACAGTTCTACACGGAGGCTCCTTACACAAGGAATCCAGGCATCCTTGCAAGTCAAAGATTAGGTTTGTTTACAAGATTTGACACAACCCCCCCCCCCCAATCTTGATGGCCAGTGCAAGGGCAGTTAAAGGGTGGAAGAGCATGAAAAAGGGGAAGAGGAACTACAGGGGATTTAAAAAAAAACAGCTTCCATGTGTTTTTGTGTTACTATCGGGTGTTCTAATCTAACCTTTTTAAATGGCTGTTAATAAAAAAAAAGAATGCAAGGACATAGTTGTGCCTGAGTAAGCAATCTAGATTTTTTTTAAAAAAAGCCTTGTGCAGTGATATGGAAGAGACAAGGGACATGACAATGGGGCAGGTTTATTTACAGGGCAGTTTTATGCCATCCATTCAGAAAATAAGCCTGGAGTAAGAATTACTCACGGGCAAGGGGCGTACAGGATTGCAGCGGGAGCATAGGGAAGGCTTTTCACCCCAGAGAGGGAATCTGATTGCAAACAAAGGTGATCCAGGAGGAATAGAGTAGATCACCCTCCTCGTGGTCTGTTTAAGTAAAATTGGCGCTTCAGACACAAATGTTTGCACAGATCTCTAGAGTGATAGCAGACATGTCTTTAGTCTGAAACATTACACTGGGAGGTGGTTTCGAGAACCCCTAACTGGCAAATTGGCAGAAATCAGAAGATTTGGATGGATTTTACAAGAGAAATGTAGCAACAGTGATAAATGTTAGTATGTTCAAAAGCAAATGAGGATGAAACTAAATGTTATTAAAGAAAAGGAATTCTGGGTTGGTCCAAGAAAACCCCCAAAGTTGGACAGGAAGGGGCTCGTGATAGAAAGGCCAATAAAATAAATATAATTCAAAATTACCAGAATCCCAGCGTCAGAATTTCATGTTAATTCCAGCTGTTCACAAGCCTACAAAAGCAAGGGAAGGAACAAATGGCAACACCCGAGTACGTTTTGGTACCACAATCCAACTTTTATGTTCTGGAAAGCCAAGACATCTAACCAGAGGATGGGGAAGATCAGAGTTCACTTAGAATCTAGGCACCTAAAAGACTAAATACTGTTTGGTAATTTTCCCGGAAAAAAAGAATTGCGTACATCCGGAGTCTTCCAAGAACTGATACCTCCAGGAATTTGGAAAAGAAGCCTTAAAATAATCTTCTTAAAACGTTAGTGTGTTCCACAGTCCCCAGATATGCAAAAGCGATGCAGGAGATGGGGGGAAAAACACCCTTTGAGGAGCTGGGGAAGTTCTCTTCCGGAGAATTAGGGCTGGATCCGTAGAAACGTCAGAAAGGGAGCAACACGTGTACTGTACCATCCAGGAGAGGGAGATCCAAAGACCCTTTCCACTCTCTCCACTTCCCGCCTCCCGCGGAATGCTTCAAAGATCCAGAGGAAAATCAGACGGGATCTGGAGGCTGAGCAGATGGGGATCCCCCGCCCTCACACCATCTGAGGAGAACCCCAACTGAAGATCTGGGTCGTCGATTCCTCCCAGCCGCCAGGAATCCCCTGATCCTTCCAACCAGGAAGCAAAGGAATGGATCCCTCTACGTACGCTTTTCAAGCCAGCTGGATCTTGGAAGCCCGAGGCAGGCGAGAGACAAGAAGATCCCTCGCTTGGTCCATGGCTTGGAGGAAGCTCGTCTGGCTCCAGCCGGTCGGTTAGCTCGGAATGGAGGGGATTTTTTCCCCCAGCCGCCTCGCTTTCTCTTCCTTTTTTTTCTCTCCCCCTCAGTCTAAAGGAAGGGAGGGAACTAGGCGGATCTGAGTCAGGGTTCTTGCTTGAGGTGACGGGTTGGGGCGCTCCGATCCTTTCCCTCCTCCTCCTCCTCCTCCTCCTCCTCCTTTCTTCGGCTGCTTTCCAAGAAGACGCGTTCGCGGGCGAGGCGACGGCACACGACGGAGGAGCGGGCGGGCGACGAGGTGGAAGGAAATCTCTGCCGGTCTCTGAGCGCATCCACTTCTNGACAGACAGACAGACAGACAGACAGACAGACAGACAAATAATAATAATCAATGCATAAGAACGAAAGCATACCTTCTTTCTTTCAATGTTACTGAAAGTCAGAAACATTGCAGCCTATTCTCATTAACTGACATCTCCTCCCCATACATAAATAGTTTAATACATAAATAGTTTGGATTAATTAACAGTTTCTATTTTAACAAAGATACATACTTGATGAAGTTGCTCAAATTCGAATAGCCTGCAATACCTCTTATTGGAACCGTGAAGGCCCGCACTGGTTTTATTATAAAAAGAACTTAACCTTCAAAATATGCAGTTACAAACAAGTCAGAGGTATTTCAGGAAGATAAATGCATAGAGAATCAGGTATATATTCCTCAGTAAGATGAAAATCAGATATATTGGTAAGAAAATATATTGTGAAGTATTATTACACTGAAAATAAGCTAGGTGGCACTAAAGTATACTGGCTGCAATGCTGCAGTGAAAGTAGAGTAGAATTTTCCTGGTTTAATATTTCCTGGAAAAAGGACCTTAGTGATTCTTAACTTTCTCCTAGTCGTATTTATGTCAAAGCAATAGCACAAAATGTGCCTTGTTGTTTACCCAAGGGAATACATGACTAAAAGGGATTTTTCAGAATAGCACTGCACAAACATGCCCTGGACATCTTTTTCCCCCCCCTGCCATGTCCCATGATGCTCTCATACCCAGCCCATGAATGACACAGGCTTAAACGTTGTATTGTTGTTAAGGTAGTCTTTCTTTCCCTCCTAATATCATTCAGGGTTTGCCTCAAGTTATATAAAATCTGTCATTACCCATTATCTGCCAGGGAAGTCAGGTGACTGCAGGGACAAGATACAAAAGCAATGGAGGAAGAGGAGTGGAGGTACGGATAATTTCATGCTAGTATAGTTTTCTGCTGACTTAAAAGTGGCCGAATAACACTTCAGCTCAGTAGCAGGAAAAGACCCTAAAGATATCCATTCTTTCTCTAATATAACCATATGCCAAACATCTAAATGCTGCTTCTTTCGGAGCATGCTTCTTTCCGATTTATTGGAGACCAAATCTTCTGAGGAGGATTTCAAAAGCCAAACAGAACTTATCAAAGGCCAGAGGGAATTGGAAGAAAAGTCCTTAGTCACCCGGGAATGCACATCCCTTGGCTTAACTGCTCAACATGAATACAGTGCCTTTCCTCCATAGCAGCAATAATCTGAAATCCTTGAAACAAAACAGACATAGCAGAATGTTATAGGCTATGGCTATTTCAAGGAAATGAATATTTATTGAGACATTAGATGTGTACAAGGACCCCAAAAGTACTCAAAAGTAGTTGATAATCCCAACAACAGGCAATCAATGACAGTTAAGAACATAAGAGAGAAAAACCCTGCCAGAATTCCATTCATTTTGTCAGGTTCTGCAGTTCTGCCTGGAATTTTCTCTGCATTCATCTCTCCTTCAGCACAACTTTATTTGGGATGCTGTTTATATGCGTCACTCAGGTTGGATAGATTTGTCTAAGTTCCTGTCAAAGTGATATTTTCACCCTTCTCCTCCACAGAAATCCATCGTATTTTTCCTGTGGGTTTTCTTACCATCAAGTTGCTGAATGAAGGGTCCTGTCCATACCAGCAGATGATTTAATCCCATTAACCTCATGCAATCTTCAATATATTATTGAAAAGCTATTTACATTCTTATCCAGATAATTCAAAATGAGACTTCCTTTTCTCTGATGGTTAAATGGAGTCGCCGTGTGTGGGTCTCCTTAGCAATATTCAGTGTGCAGTTTTTGACCTATTAAAGCTGTGTGTGTGTGTGGTGTGTGTGTGTGTTGGGTTGAGTTGCAGGTGGTACGCCCTGGTACAGGTGTACTGGAGCCTGCCCGGAGCACCGGTACCGTTCTGGTACAGTGCTCCAGAGGGCCCACCCGCCCGCCCTCGCTCTTGACTGTGTTTTAAAGCTGTTGGTGCTTCCGCACACGCGCATGGAGTGTATAGCGCCTGCGT